TTAGAAGATTGATAAAATCAAAGTTTCTCAATAACAAGTTTCATTTTCTTTTTATCAAGTATATCATTCATTTCAAATTCTCGAGGCAACAACATATGATCAACGATGTTTAAATAATTCACTTAGACCAAAGTTTATGATGATTCATTAGAGGATTGATAAGACCAAAGCCTCCTAACAATGAACCTCAAGGTTATTGGATTAAAGGTTTCAAATTAAACATACTTGGGCTTGCAAACATGGATTTAGGCCACGAATGATCATTTCTCGAATCGAGACAAAATTTAGCGTTATGTTAAGCAATCGTAAGTGGATTTATGTAGAATTCCGCCTAATTCGAGAGCGGTCAATAGAAATCTATGTATCATATGTTTAGAGAAATGATATGTAGATTATTCTCCAACAACATGTATCACAAGTAAGAAAGGGATAAGATAAAGAGGGGGGGGGGGGGATTTATTAGATGAAATTAGGGTTTCAAATATCATCAACATCATTCATCCGTTTTGGTGGATTTGGTTTTTTAACCTATCAACACCCAAGATCCAATGAGGTTGAGGAATTTGTCACCAAATGAAATCCAACTCAGGACCAAACAAAAATAATAAAATAATATTTAATAAAACAATATTTAAATGGTTAATAAAAAGAAAATAATTGGTAAAATACATAAAGTATATTAAAACACCAAATACAAATCCTAAAAAATAGTCAAAGGTCAAACATGAGTCAATAATAATTGACAAAAAAATTCAGAGTAATTTTTAAAGTCAAAAACTATTTTTAAAATTTAAAGAAATAAGCAAAAAAAATCAAAATTTGTAAAAAAATAGTAAAATCAGAAATAAAAATAAAATGAGGTCACCAATATTTGTCAAGAAGTTATTGGATCCTTACATAATTTTTCCAAAATTTAAAAAGACCAGAAAGTATTTTTAAAACAATTAAAATAAGGCAAACAATACAAAAATTATGAAAAATATCAAACATAAAAATAAAAATATGAAAAAAATACTCACAAAGTCAAAAATAATTCAAAGTATTTTTGTATTTTTTTTCATAATTTTTGGATAAAAAATAAGAGAGTTATGAATTTTTTAAATTAAAATAAATTTAAAACAAGTTTTGTAAAAATAAATTAATCAGAAATAATGTGAGGCGTTGGATCCGGTTCATTAAAATACGCTGGCACATCTAATGGCTCAAGAGTGATTATGTATGGTGATCCACGGTTAACCCGCGCACACTGAAGTCACGATAGTCAGACCAATCACAACATTTCAATTGTCCTGCTCTCATTGGTTGAAGAAGCCATGTAGGTCATCTTCAACCTCCAACTACCCTTCAACTAAGGCGAGGTCATGATTCTTAAATCTGTAAATTTAGACGCTCATAGTGATATCATTAGACGCATCTCATCAAGACGATCACAACCATATCCTCGCGCAAAATTTATATAAAACACAACTTACTCGATTTGGAAAAAATCAAAGATGTTTTGAAAATTTTGAAATCGAAAACAGAAGCATCAAATGCATTGATTCACCAAAATTGAGTTAATAGCAAGCATCAGTGAACATCATAAACCATTCCAGTCATTTGAGTTAGAAAATTTGGTGTCTTAAACTACCTGAACAAAGTCAGATGAATTTGCTCTGCAATTGGACTTGGCTAGCACGATTTAGGACACCTTAAGGCTTTGTTCTTCTTCTGTTAGCTTCAGTAAAGTTCAAGGATGAAGAATCAACAAAAAAATTGGATCGAAAAGTGGAGAAAAGATGAATTCGAAAACTCGGAAAAGTGAGTTATTGAGAGAGTTTGATAGGGTGATTTTGGCTGCCCAAACTTGAGAAAACGAGAGGAGTGAGGTCCTTTAATAACAGGGAAGTGAACGGTGCAAAGAAATGAGAGGAAAATTGAAGTTTGGAGGGAAATTGGATGGATCCCGAAAGTGGAAAAAGTGTGACTCCATGTGCATCAAAACTCAGTCAATTCCTGCGTTTTGATCCTTAATTCAACTTTGGTAACTTTGTTAAAAACATTTAAATAAAAAAACGCGTGCTTATTTTTTGTTTAGAAACTGGATTATGTATTTCAAAATCTGACTTGGAGTAAAAATACAGTTTCAAGTTGCTGATTTTGAACTCACGGTGTGCACGATTTAGGAAGTCTTAGGACTTGATTCTTGACGCATAAGAAAGATCAGGTAACATTCTTTATAATGTGCCAAGAAATAATTCATTTGGATGCTTGAGCTAGAAGTTATGCTTGGTCAAAATCAGGAAAAATGCGTTAACTTTTATAAGAAAAATTATATGTTTTTTCTTCAAAAATGACCTATAATGTTTTGATTCTAAACAAAGTCTTCCTTCAAAATTGAGCCTTTACCATTGATTCTAGCTTGAAGTGGACTCCCTAAAGAGTATTGTGAAACTTATATCACTAAAAAATTCCAAATATTGAACAAGTTATAATCTTTTAAAATTGATGAAAATCCAAGAGGCGACCTATAATATTTTGAACTCAACAAGCATCTTGCAATCATTTACAAGCTTAGCACCAAAAAGAGAGTTAAGTTTAACATTCTTAAGATCATTGAAAAAATAATAAGCTCAGATGATAAAAATTGACCAAGTTATATTCCTTTGAAGTCACATAAAAGAATTTGATGGCCTATCTAGAGGACTTGTAATACTTCTTAACCATTAGTGATCTTCCATATAAAATTTGCTTGAAACTCTTGAAGTGATTTGTTAAAAAACCTTTAAAGAGAAACCTATCTTTGAAATAACTCAAAAATATTAAAAGATGAACAAGATATATTCCTTAGAAGTTCAAAACCCTAGCTCCTAAAGCATCAAAATAACTTGGAACCCCTTTCAACTTTTGACAATATTTCTTGCCCAATTGCCTTTACTATGTTAAGATAAGTTGTTATGTATGATCATAAGAACCCATAGCAAAAATAATCACTTCCCAATGTTAAAAATTGAGAAAATTATGCACTTGTAATAAGGAATCAAGAACTTGTCAAATTAGGTCAAACTTCTTGAATCAATCTTGTATCTCTTGACTTTCTTTAGCAAAATAAAGTATGCTGAGACATAGTAGGCCTTGTGATAACATTGTCTTTAAAGGACTCTAAGATGAACTTAAATCTCAATGAAGTTTTGTTGAAGAAGGCATGGAAATAAACTCATGAACCTATGAATCAGCCTGATGAAATGTGTTGTGTCATCACCTATAATGCCAACATCCATAAAGCATATATATATATATATATATATATATATATATATATATATATATATATATATATATATATATATATATATATACACACACACATATATACATTGTATTTGTTAGTTAAAAGTCAATCAACACAAGATAAAAAATCAGTGTGTTTGTGATCTCACATAAGCAAACCTAAAGATAAAAAGAAGAACTAAACCCTAGTGTGTGATCTTGATATGATTGGGTTGACATTGAAATGATGAGAGATCTTAGGGGCGAAAATTGGAATATAACACTTGGTGGCCGGGACTCCTTGGTTAACAAGTAGAAGAGACATTTATCCTTCATGTCGTATTGGAACAAGTTCATTGAGTCGTCTTACATACAGAAGTGGATTGGGTCATGCTTAGCCGTTGAGTCAGTCCAGAACATTTTTCATTTACAAACTCAGAGTTTAAAGCACGAAAGCAAAATATGATGAGTGGAAGAAAAATACAGTAGATAGATTCATAAAATATATGTTTCACTGTATTCATAAGAAGAATGATTCGATCAATATCATAATCATCGAAGATAAACGAAGTTGCTATACCAAGAAATTTAAATATGACAACTTAGGAATAATACAATCTTGATTGAATTAAATAATGTTCAATGAATTAGATCCATGACATACCTAAACTTATAAGATAAAAACTATAGACAAGATCTAATTTTAGATGACATTCTAAAGATGGACAATATCTAACATGAATGATCATATGCATAAAATTAAAAGAGGCAGAGAAAGAAAATTGTACAATAAATATATAGTGATTCATCAAAATACAGTTCAGCTAATAATGTCTAACTCTGTAACTATAGAACGATTATAATTCTCTTTATTTTTGTCATATGAATTAGAATTTCAATATTATAATCTATATAATATATAATATTAAAATTCAGTTTACATAAACCATAATCCTCAAATCTGTACAGCAAACTTATATTTACTCATAATTTATATATTACTTTACCATATAAACTATATTCAATAATACTCTTAATAATATCTCGAATATGAGCCAGGACGTTATTTGTTTGACAACTAACCTAAACTAATGAATCATTCACAATATATTTAAATTCATTCTAACATTCACTTTTTATTCAATAAAATTTATATATATCTTATCATTTTATATGATTATTCATAAAATGTGAGACTTATTCACAAATAAAAAGATAAATATAAGAATAGATGTTGAAAATAAAGAGTTAATAACAATCATATACTACAACTCTTCAAAGTATAGCAAGTTCAGTTTTCAGTTTGATTTGGCGGTACTTCAATCTCGGTGTGCTTCTGGGTTTTGGCCACATTCTCTACTCCTGTTTTCTAGCATTTATCGGAGTTTAGTTGTTCTGGAGTCTTAGATACTTCTCTTTTTGTGTTTGAATTCTTCTTGCTTAGATACTCGTTAATTACTTGATTCAATTGATTGTTTTGTTTCAAAATCCTTTCCTCACCCAACACATCACATAACACCGGCATGCATAAAGTTATGTGAAAGAGCTTGGACATGCCACGGAGGCTGCAAAACTTCCACGTCTCCTCAAAGTTATACACGTGTAAATCAGACACAAAGCACACCGTAAAACCAGTATTTTGCTCCAACACATTCTGAAGCTAAAACGAAACCACACAGCTCCTCTCGATACATTATATACTTTTCCACTTCAACAAAATCATCTTCACTTGATATTCACAAATATTTCCAATGCCTACAGAAACAACAAGAACAGCAGCAGAAACAAAACCTTTCACAACTCCCTCTCATCCCTCAGGTAACTATATAGTCATACATAAGCTTTAAAATTATCTTAGACTATTAATATATATATGTTTATGTTATTGCACTTGGATAGATGGTGGCAATGACATAATGAGGGACATAATACTATGGAGGAGGAAGAAACTAAGTACTTTTGTTCTAATTGCCGCAACAGCAACATGGGTTTTGATGGAAGTTTATCAATATAACTTCCTCACTCTCATTTCATGGCTCACCATCTTAGTAGTTACCTCAATATTCCTCTATGCCAAAATGCTTACACTTTTGGGCAAGTAAGAACCTTCATTTTAATGATGTATCAACATTATATCTGTATATTATATATATAATATATCTATTTTATTTCATTGTGTGAAATTTAGGGAACCACCGAACTTGTTGAGGTTGGAATTCAAAGAAGAAACAGCTATAAGAATGGCAAAGATAGTTAAAGCAAGAATTGAAGAATCAATAAGGTGGTTGTCCATGGTGACCACACAAGAAGATTGGACTGTGCTTGTTGGAGTTATTGCTAGGTTTTTGGCACTTTCTTATGTTGGAACCTGCATGGACTTCCTCACATTCAGTTATATCGGTACCTGCTTGATTAATTAATTAACTAATTTTAATTATTTAATTATTTTTCGTCTTAATTGAATGTATATTCAATTTTATTTTGTTGTATAGTTACATTGGGTGGTATGACGGTTCCTGTAATTTATATGAAAGAGGAGGAGAAGATCAAGAGATGCATGGAGTGGTTGAGGGAGAAATATAAGAGATGTTATGAGGTTATAGATGAAAAGGCCATCAGAAAGATCAAAAGTAGAATACTAAATGAGAAGAAAATAGAGTGATTTGCTTATGTATATAGCTTGAAGCTTGTGTAAAAAAACGCACGGTTATGTAATGTTAATAATAATGGATTACTCTTGTAAAAAAATGGAATGCAGTGGTATTTGTATTTTGTTATAGTTGATTAATAAAAACGATGTTACTTGCCAAGGATGTTGATTATTTATGATATAGAACCGCTTTTTCTGTATTATATAAAATCGCGGGATACAGCTTTCACCATTGGATCTGTGGCGCAATGGTAGCGCGTCTGACTCCAGATCAGAAGGTTGCGTGTTCGATTCACGTCAGGTTCAATTCTGTTTTGCTGATTTCTTTTAGATTTTCAGGAAACTCGTTGAGATAGTTATTTGCGAATCCATGTGATTATGATTAGACTTCAGCAATGATTTTTTGGAATTAAGATAATTAACAATGTTATTTTTTTACTTTTTAAGTGAGTTTTTTATATCTTAAATGTGAAACTAAAATCAGAGCAACAAGGTGACTCATTAATTAAAAAACCAGCTTCATATCCATGAAATGTGTTTAGGTTTGTCTATGAATGGAAAAGATGACTTTTCATCTTTTCTTTCTTTTGTTTTTATTGATATAAAAACACCTTATGGCAAGTGATAGGAAGTCCAAAAGAATTTTAGATTATGAGTTTTAAATAGTAGTGTTTTTATTTTTTAAATTTTGTTTTGTCCCTAAAAGGGTATGAGTTTTAAATAGTAGTGTTTTTATTTTTTAAATTTTGTTTTGTCCCTAAAAGGGTTAGGTTCATTACTTTCTAGTGACTTAGGCTTATTAACTGCTAGTATTTATATTTGTTGGTATTTATATTATAAGTGTGATAATGATTAGGATATGAAAAATCATAATTTATTTTATTTTTCTTAGTTTAAATTTTACTTCTTAATGTCTTATGGTGGAACTCTAATAAGGAAGTATCTGCAAAATCAAATCTCTATTATTGGTGTTTTCACCATTTTCCTTAATGCCTCCTAAAAAAGATACCTCTAACTTAAAAGACCTTGATGAGTCTATTTAACACACAGATTTACGGTTGAATGATCTCATTTTGTCCAACCGTAACTTTGAATCTGTCAATTTTGTACGTTAGATCTATGAGCTAGACAGTAGTGTTAACGAACGGCTGCAGATTGGTTTTGCAGAACTCAGCAAACAGATGACTCAACAACCCAGTTAACAATTTGCTGCCATGACAACATCTATTTCTCCAAACAGATCTGCAACATCTGGTATTGCTAGCTCCTTTTGCATCCAACAAGCTCTGAAAATATTGTTATTAATACATCTTTTTCATTATTATACATTTCCTTATCCACCAGCCAAGCTCACAATCGTGCCAGCCCCTCTAACAGCCAATTTTCTATACCAAACTCACAACCACACCATTCTATTCCCCAAACACAACCCACAGTCCACCTTAGCAATTATGCCTTCTCAACTTACCAAACAACTTCATTTCAACCCCCATTTTCTCAACCTCATTCACACAACCCCATTTCAATCCCCATTTTTCCAGTCCATTCACACAGCCTCATTTCAAACCCCTTTTACCCAACAGAATCAATCTTTTCCCTAATTTTTACATCAACTCAACTATACTCACAGTGCAATGCGGAACTCTAAAGTTGAATTGGGAATTTTTGACGGTACAGATGCTTTGGAATGGGTTATTCTAATCAGAATAATTTTTTGGATTTTACAATATTCCAATTGAAAATCGACTATCTATGGTTGCTTTTTACATGAAGGGAGAAGCACTTGATTGGTATAAGTGAATGTTTCAAAGTCAACAATTAACGGATTGGAATTCCTTCGCAAGAGCCCTCGAATTACGTTTTAGACCATCCACTTATGAGAATCATCAGGCCCCGTTTTTTAAGCTGCGACAACAGGGGTAACCAAGTGTTGGGTTTACCACCAGAAGCAATGCTTAATTATTTTATTTCAGGTTTACTTCCGGAAATTAGAAACGAAATTGCTATTCATCAACCATACTCCATCTCACAAGTTATGGGCCTTGCAAAGTTGATAGAGTCCAAATTAAAGAACTCCAAACCAAGATTTTTCAAATCCTCCTCACAATTTTCGTCTGTTTCCTATAATCCAAACAGTATAAATCCAAAACCCACCACCACACCAACACCTAATTCCACTAACACGCAATCACTATAAAAAAAACCCAACCCAATTTTGAACCCACAAACCATTTCCACAACTACAAACTGTTTTCCGATCCGCAGAATTACCACTGCTCAACGGGAAGAACGTAGAGTTAAAGGCTTATGTTTTAGTTGCAATGATAAATTTATTCCTGGCCACTGTTATAGTGCAGGAAAGTTTCTTTTACTTATGGTTGATGAATACACTAATATTGAAGATGATAGGACTGTTGAAGTGAATGAAACAATTGAAGAAGTCACCAATTTTGAAGAGACTTACTTTCAATTATCCCCTCAGACAGTTAGTGGACAATTTCCCCAAAAACCTTAAAATTCAAGGGCATTCTAGATGGCTTAAATGTCACAGTTTTAATTAACATCGGCAACACTTACAACATACTCCAACCACGCATCGCGCAACAGTTTAAGATTCCTACAAAACCCATATTAAATTTTTCGGTCATGGTTGATAATGGTTCTCAACTTAGTTGTTTCAGATTATGTCCACAAGTTCCAATCACCTCACAAAACCACTTATTTTTTATTCCTTTCTACTCGTTTCCAATTGAAGCGGCTGATGTAGTGTTAGGTATGGAATGGTTGCGTACTTTGAGTCCCCTCCTTGCAGATTTCTCCATCCCAAATATCTATTTCACTCATAATAACAAAGGGGTCACTATTACGGGTGATCCAAAAACTGTCCCAACTCAGTCTACCTACAACCAAATTTGTCACCTTCTTCAAACTAATTCTATTGCATCAATGCACATGCTTCTATACCAACCAACCCAAACAAATCTTAGTCAACCCAACGACAAAACCATTAACCCAATTGAACCCTTTTCACCAACATTGCCTAAAGAAACAAAAGAAGCTTTACACTCACACTCTTCCATCTTTCAAAAATCTAAAGGCCTTCCCCCATCCTGCCCACATGACCATCACATTCCTCTAGCCCCCAATTCTTCTCCAGTAAACATTAAATCTTATCGTTATCCCCACTCTCAAAAAGAAGCAATGACTAAAATCATACAAGATATGTTACAGGATGGCATTATACAACCTAGCAATAGCCCATACTCTTCACCTGTGCTGCTAGTGCAAAAAAAAGATGGATCATGGCGTTTCTGTGTTGATTATCGTGCACTTAATGCACTTACTATCTGTGATTGATTCCCTATCCCTATCATTGATGAACTTTTTGATGAGTTAGGTTATGCATATTGTTTACAAAGATTGACCTCCGGTCAGGCTACCACCAAATTTGGGTAACATCAGAAGACACTCACAAGACAGCGTTCAGGACTTTTGATGGGCATTATGAGTTTTTGGTTATGCCTTTTGGGCTGACTAATGCTGCTATTTATTTTCAATCGGCCATGAATGATTTGCTCTGACCTTACTTAAGATGGGTTGTTTTGGTTTTCTTTGATGACATTCTTATTTACAGTTCTTGTCTATCTAATCACATACGTCACTTACGATTGATTTTAGGGTTGTTTTCTACTAATCAGTTTTTTGCCAAATTGTCCAAATGCGTGTTTGTTGTTTCTAGCGTTGATTACTTAGGTCATATTATATGAAAAGATGGTGTAACCCCTTATCCATCCAAGATCCAAGCAATTTTAGAATGGCCGAAGCCACGTCCTCTCACGACACTAAGGGGTTTTTTAGGTCTCACCGACTTTTATCAATGATTTGTTCATTATTATGCCATACACGCCCCCCTACTCATCGATCTTTTAAGATTCACTAAGTTTACATGGAGTACAGCAGCAGATACAACTTTTACAATACTGAAAAATAAAATGACAGCAACCCCTATTCTCACGCTTCCAAACTTCACCAAGACCTTCTTCCTTGAAACTGACGCATCTGTAGTAGCCATTGGAGTTGTCCTCTCCCAAGTAGGTCACCCTCTTGCCTTCTTCAACAAAAAGATTTTCCCTCGTATGCAAGTGTCGTTTGTCTATGTTCAGGAAATGTATGCCATCACCGAATCTGTAAAAAAATGGAGGCAATACTTAATAGGGAGACACTCACATTTTTACAGACCAAAAAAGCTTGAAGAACCTACTGGTCCAAACCATACAAACCCCAGAACAACAGAATCGGGCATCGAAATTACAAGGATTTAGTTTTGATATTTTTTACAAACCTGGTAAGAACAATTAAGTTGCAGATGCACTGAGTCGCAGACATACAGAGGATGATGGTGTGCTTTTCATTCTTTCATCTCTAATTCCTTCAATCTTACATGAGCTCAGAAAACACTACAAAGACAATGACGACATACATTTGTTAGATAAGTACATCTCAGATCCGACCTTGCAGAACTTTTTCAAGCTTCAAGATGGAATTCTATATTATAAGGATCAGATATACATACCACATGATTCTGCGTTTAGAAAAACACTTATCCACGAGTACCACGCCACACCTAATGCAGGACATTTTGGAGTTCATCCAACCTATGCAAGACTTTCAACATCATTCAATTGGCATGGTTTATACAAGGATATCAAAACCTTTGTTTAGTGTTGCTTCATCTGCCAAAGAAGCAAGTATCTTCCAAAGAAAAAATATGGGTTACTACAACCATTAACAGTTCCAAATCAGGTATGGGAAGAATTGAAAATTGGTTTTATTACTCATTTACCTTCCTCTTTTGGTTATATAGTTATCTGGGTCATCTGTGATCGCTTGTCCAAATATGTCCATTTCTTAGCCTTGCCTTCACGCTTCCCAACTCCAGATCTTGCAACCAGGTTCTCCTCTGAGATATGTCGCCTCCATGGTGTTGTACCCCAAAATTTGCCCTCTCATTT